TTTTTATCCTGGCTTTCCTTTCCTCATAGAATTCACATCTTATTGAAAAAAGAATGTTCTCAGTTTATCTCTTTTCTCTCATAACATAACATCTTCATGGCTTTACTTTGACATCTGAGGCTCTTAATTTGAGCAAGTTACTTCTCTCTCCACCAGTTACCACAGCTGTAAAGGGGAGTTAATAATAATAATATCTACTTCATATGCTTGTGATGAGACTGAGTTCATCTATGTAGAGTTTAGAATCATGTCTGACCCTGACACATTATAAGAACTGAATAAATGCTAGCTATTGCTGCTGCTGTTATTTTAGTCATTGTGTAAAGGACACTCCAAAACCAGGACCAACCACCTGTATAAAAATGACTAATGGTTAACAAAGTAAAAATGCAAAGGTATGAGAACTCCTGAGAATGGCAAGACAGCATTTCTGACTAATGGCTGGAATAACATAACATGAGAAGTTACCTCAAGGGCAAAATCAAAATTAGACTGCAGATTACAAATATGTGTGACCAAATAACTGGTAATCCTACTAGGGAAGCAGGGCTTCTAAGTACTTCACTGCAAACAGTGTTTGTGAATGTCACTTTTAAAGCTCAAAGCCACACACACACACACACACACACAATCCCCCCCAAAAAAACAGTGAAGAAGAGGTTAAGGGAATACATGTTGCCTTCTTCCTTCCCTCAGAACACGATGTTTCCCCCTCCCCATCCTGTGCCTTGCCATATTTCTGAATCCTTTTTGCAAAAGTCAAAAAAGCAGCACTAATCCCACTGTGCCATGTCCCAACATACCACTTAAAGAAAATTCAGCCACCTAGCAAATGTAATAAAGAAGAATTGCTGTACCCATAAACCCTACCCAACCAGAGCATTCCAATTTGCAAAGATAACATAATCCTGCTGCTTTGGATGTGGCTCTATGGAGAGGAACGGAGAGTCTGGGATTCAAAGTGCTGTCTCCAGCATCTCATGGATTAGAATGACAACATCTGAACCAGAGTGAGTGCACACCTATTTGTTGTCTATACTCCAAGCCCTCTAAAACATCCACTCTCTCACACAGGGCCAGAAAATGGGTCAACTCAGTAGAATTCGTTTGGGTCTCCAGGAAAAGCAGTAGGGATGACCTTGAAAAAGTCCATTTTAGGGTATGGTGTGAAAAACAAGAGGCAGGTTTTTAATAATCTTGTGTGGCTGCAACTCACTCCTCAAGAACAGTAACTTCAGCAGCCACTTCATTATATTTCTACTGTAAATGACACAGGCCTGAGCCAAGTCTGCACCAAAACACACTTCAGAATTCAATCAGAGTTAGGTCATCTGCAGTCTATTGCAAAGTGCTGAACTCAAAACCCCTAACAAGGCATCTCAGCAACAGTATTTGTCTTGCCACTAATGAGGCTCTTTTTCCATGAATAATGAATTAGAACATCATCTCTGTTGCCAGGTACACAACATAAACAAAGCTCAACACAAGGACTTTGGTATGGTGAGTTTGTCCATTTGCAACAAAGGAATTTTGCAACGTGCGAGCCAAATTCTAATAAAGGGTGGGACAGCTGTTGTAACAAATAATGTGAACATATGTTATCAGAATCTAATAAATCAGCTTTATGTTGTTGTGGAACAGAGGCCATGCGGTGGGATACATAAAGATGTCAGAAAGCTCCAAATTAGTTCATTTCTTTATTTTGTAATCTGTCTTATGACACAAAGCTGATGATTTCTCTAATGAACTGAGATCTTCATGAAAGAGCCTTAAGAGATTTGAGATCTCAAAGGCCCTACTGGTTATATCTTTTTTTTTTTTTTTTTTTTAAATATATCTTTATTGATTTCAGAGAGAAGAAAGGAGAGGCAGA